GCAGGGCAATTCCTAAAGCAGCCATTATTCTGAATGAAGGCTTGAGGGTCTACACTAAAGAAGGGGGCTATTTCCACGTGCTCCTGGCTCCAGGTTTTCACAACATTGATGCAATAGCCAGTGGATACCAGCAGAAACATGTCAAGGTATGTGACTGTCCATGTGGGATGTATTCCTCCATTCTCTGCCAAAAAAACTTCCCTGTCTGGCTCTGCATGGTTGTGCCTATGTTTAGCTGTTGATCATGTGCCATCAAGGGCTGTTTTCTGCCTTGACAGAATGGATGGAGAACAAGTTCCCAGCCTAGCAGGGTTGTTTTGGGAGTATCTTTTACTTTTATGGTGCTTTTTTTGACCAGGGCAGGACCAAGCAGATGCCAAGTGTCTCTCTTGCCTGAATCCCCAAGCTGTGAGATGACCTAATCTCTGTTGTCTTTCTGCAGGTCTTTGTACATGACGATACACCCAGCTCTGTGTTCATAATATTTGACACAGAAAACAGGATTTTTGGACTGCCAAGGGAGCTGGTTATAACTGTTGCAGGTACAGTGATGCTTTCTATCAAAGCTTTGAGCTTGGCTTTCTGCACCAGTTCATGCTGAGAGTGACCCTCCACTGAACTGGGAAAGCAGCTTGCAGGCTTAAGCCATTCTGCTTTCCCTTCTGAACCCACTCTTGTCCTTGCAGACTCATCCAAAAGCCCTTGGTTCTTCGTAGTAGGAGGGAGGGAGAGGTAATGTGTGTCATGGGGTTCTGAAGGGTCCAAAATGTGCTTTGAGATGTCTGGAATGGGRAGAGCTTGTGTGTATAGCTGGGAGATCTTGCTTCTTTTCCAAGTTTTTTTTTGGTGATGTGGCACCAGGTAAGCATTAAGAGATTATTTTATTTTGTCGAGGTGGCAGCTGCTGGGGAGGGGAGGGTGTGTGGGAGTTCAGACCCAGTGGTCTGTAGAGGAGCTCGGTGATAATCTCCTAAACTGCAAGCATTGAAAATGAAGTGTGACCTGGTCTGGGAGCAGCTCTCCTGTYCTCCATGACCCAGGAGGAAGGAACAGGGTCACAGTGAGGTGAAGAAAACAGCTGTGACTGTGGGAGGGAGGAGAGATGCTGGCGAGGCTGGGAGCCTCTGGTGTGGGGGAACATGGCAGTAACTCTGGTGTCCTCTCTCTCTGGCAGGGGCCAGCATGTCTGCCCTGGTGCTCACTGCCTGCATCATCTGGTGTGTCTGCTCCATCAAGTCCAACAGACACAAGGATGGCTTCCACCGCCTCCGGCAGCACCACGACGACTACGAGGACGAAATCCGCATGATGTCCACCGGCTCCAAGAAATCCCTCCTGAGCCACGAATTCCAGGATGAAACAGACACTGAAGAAGAAACATTGTACTCCAGCAAACACTGACACCTCCCGGGCAGGAGAGGAGGTTGCCATGGACCAGACCCGGTGGTGGGGGGCGATCCCTGTGGTTGGGTTTTGAAAAGTTARCTTCAGGATGTGTCCTCCAGAGGGGTGGGGGGCAGCTCCCAGCTTCCCTCTGTTTGCTCTGTTCCTGTGTACAGGCACTCAGGGGGTGTTGGAGACTGTTTCTGAGATAAGGACATGGTTTGTTACATTTTTTTGGGTCAAGACCTGGAGGTTTCTATGATGTGGTTTGAAAAGGCAGCTTTAACAGGGTGGCCAGCAGAGCTCTTAGCATTTCCCCAGCATCTCAGCACAGGGAGCAGATGGTGGGGAAGTGCCCCAAGACCTGCACGGAGTTGTGGTCACAACACTCCAAAAAAAGGTTTATTTACCTGTTTTGATTTTATGTTTTCCACTACATGCTTGGGCCAGGCCAGATCCTTCACGTGACTCCACATTCTGCAGAGCAGCCCTCAGAAAAAGTCAAAAAAAAAAAAAAAAAAGACTTTGATTCTCAGCTGTTCCCTTGGAGCTTTTCCCACCGTGGGTTGCTGTGGTCTGCTGTGATCTGCAGTGGTTGTGGAGCACCTCTGATGTGTCACCAGTTCCAGGCAGTGACTTGGCATCCTGGAGGCTGAGGGAGATGACATCGCTCTTGATGCGAGCTGGAGAGAGTCAGAGCTTCAGTGAACTCTGACAGAGCTCCACTGCCTGCCAGCTCTGCCATGCTGCTGTTCCCACTTCTGGGGAGCAAAGAAACTTTATCCCCATCACCCTGGTTGTGTTTTGTTTGCGTAATAGGCTTGGCTTCGGGGTCTCACGTTCATGTTCCAATAGCTCAGTGTCTGAAAGAGCAGCTGAAGGTTGTTCTAAGCAAGTGGATTCACTAATCTGTAGAAAACCTGATCAGTTTTGCTCAAATCCACCACTATTCAGGAGGAAACAGTGAAAGCTGACCACTGCTTTATATTTGAACATTATTGGAGCAGCAGGGAGAGGTCATGAGAGTATCCATGGCCCAACTTTGGTGCTAAATTTTGAAGAAAATCTGCACCATTTGCCACTGTCCACCTAGTACCATTTAATCACCGAAATTTGGTGATGRCAGGCAGCAAAATTCCTGCTGGCTTGGCTCTGTTCTGCTCCTGCAGCATCCCTGGAGTGTGGTGCAGGAGCTCCACCTGTGTGTGTGGCTGCAGCTGTGCTGCAAGGAGTGAGGAAGGRCTGAACTGTGCTGAGGGAGAAGGGAAAAGCAGCCAAATTCTGTTGTGTAGCACTTGGCAGGAGGCTGGAAAGAGGAGCTGCAGGCGCACATCCCCAAGACATATGGGATTTGTGGGGAATRGAAGGGATGTCCAGAAGGAAAGAATGGTTGAAGTGTTTGATTTCCAAAGCCTTTATGTATCTCTGATGTTCCTGTGCTTTCWGAAGAAGCAGAAGGCTGGGGTTAGAATAGGCACTTATTTTCYTGCTGCTCATTTTCTTTTTTAATTCTTGCCCCACTGACCTGATTTCTGGGGTGCAGGAGCCTTTGGTCTCAAGTTTGCCCTGAGCTGCTCTGTCCTCCAGAGGCCAGGGGATGTTCACTGGTGAAACCTGCACATGGTGTCTGTGTTGGGGAGTTTGCATCCAGAAATGTAACGGGGTCTGCTCTGACCTGGCCTCCTCCTTGGGGGAACTGTTGAAGGTTCTTGAGCCATGTCACCTGGGGAGGAAGCTGTTCTTCACCCCTACCTGTGGAAATGCTCTTCCAGAGCCAGATGCCTGTGGCTGTGCTGCCGTGGTCACCATCTCTGGTTCTGTGCAGGGACAGAGAGAACCCTTAGAAACCAGTGTACCTCCTTCCTTGTTCCCCAGGGAATCCTACTGCGAGAAACACGAGGTGTGGCTGGGAGGTGTGCTGGGAACAGGGAGATGAGGCTGARCATTCCCCATGCTCCTGTCCCACGTTTGGTGTGAAAGAACTGCTCTGGTTGCCTCGTGCAGGACCCATGAACATATCTTTGTTTGTTCCCAGCTCATTGCGTTGAGCAGGGGATGGGGTTTGGTCCCTTTTTGTCCCTTTCCCACATGTCACGGGCTGCAGGACACCAGCACACAGTAGCACTAATCCTGCCTCATCTCTCAACTGTTCCTCCTTCAACAAGARACACAGTAGGTTTTATTTAAAGTCGAGTTTGCAAATGGCTCTTAGGGCTCTGTTTGGGCTTTGTTTGCTCTGGCAGCAGGTAATGGACAGAGCTGGCCCTGCTTTGTCCCTGTAGCAATAAGTCCTGTTAGGAACCGGCCCTTTCCCTCAGAGTGCATTTCGGAATTAGCTGGGAGTAGCTGTGTATATTTAAGGTGAGTGGATTTGAGGTRTTTTGCAAACGTGTGAGACTTTTCTACGCAGCAGGACCAAGGAGGGTGCCTGGCTCTGGCTCCGGCTCCGGCTCCGGCTCCATCCTCGGAGCTTCGCACGCACTGGGGCTGTTCTGGGCACTTTGGGAAGGCAGGAGCGGCTCCCGTGCCCTCGGTCCATCCGTCCATCCCTGCTCCGGCCCGAGGAGCCGGTCCCCGCGGGCGCCGTCCCTGTCGCTGTCGCTCCGTGCACTTGTGCCTTCAAATGTACATTTTCAAAGGGACTTGAATCGCCGTTTCCTGGCAGGGGAGGGGAGGGGGCGGCGCGGGGCTGGGCCTGGCTCTGCCCTCAGCCGCCGCCTGTTTTTTTACCTGTATACCGAGATCAATAATCTGTATAAAACTATTTTGATGTCCACCTGCGTTTTCTCGTTCTTCTTTACGATGGGGCAGAGTTCGGGGGAGCGGAGTCGGAGCGGGGGTTGGGGAAGCGGGATCGGGACTGGGGTCGGAGCGGGGGTTGGGGAAGCGGGATCGGGACTGGGGTCGGAGCGGGGGCTGGGGGAGCGGAATCGGGATCGGGACTGGGTTCGGAGCTCGGGTATCGGGA